CAAAGGGCTAAACACCTATTACAAGAAATAAAATCCGCATTCCCACGCATGTCGCACAATATCAGCATATTAGTTGACCGATTTTGAATCCACCCTCGCCGCACGCAATGGAAATATAAAAAAGATATCCGCCCGAGGACAGCGACATAAATAAATAATTTTATCCATGTCTCTGTCGCTTTGTGTACCCTAATGTGTTTGGGTGGCGGGCGGCGTAACAAGGATAACATGACTGATTATGTAAGCAAAGGCAGAGGCAAACGCGCTGGGCCCAAACAAAAGCGTATAGCCAAGCATATTTCGGTCCTGCCCCGTAAGCCCCGTATCTTCTGGCATTTTCCGGATGCCTTTTTTTTCGGCAGTTTGCGGCAGCAGGTTGAACGACAGTGGCATACACACCCACTTATTGTGCTGTGCGTGTTTTTGAGAAAGTGGCACAATTTTTACTTTACGAACGCCTAATGTAATAAAGCCCGCCCCGCAATCCAAGTCCTGCCCCAAATGGATGGCCTGCGTTTAGCATTCGCAGCGATAAAGCCGGAGTGGAGGAGCAGAGGCAGCATCAGAAGCCATTGAAACTCTGAGGTTGGGTCTGGGCCATGTGTGCGACTAAGGTGGCCCAAAGCGGGGTCAACGGCCATAAATCAAACCGAAAATTATACGCATTCATCTGCTGAGCTGGCAAAAGAACAAGAAAAATATCTGCCACATTGCCTGCGGCGGGGGTGGAGCTGAATGCTGGCATTTCCCATTTGGGGGAGTTTTCCGAATGGCGGAAAATATGGGTAACTGTGCGAAATCTAATGGCCACCGAAAATCGATAAAAGTCGGGCTGCCACTTGGTTTTATTTTTATTTCGGTTCACCTGACGGCCGAGTGTTTTAATTGCGTGCGAATCGAGTGGCCGACGCCCGGCATACTAATATTAATTCCATTGTTAAGGCCAAAAATATTTATTCCGATTCGGCGGCCATTAATCATTAATCCGAAGCTTAACGGCTTTGAATCGCTAAAATATTAAAATTAAATTAACATTATTGAGTCGGCTTGAATGGTCAACAACGAATTTTGGATTCAGTACTACTACTGTATAAAAGCAATAAAGTAAATTATTTTTAGGAGAAGTTGAAGTTAGATATTTTAATTTAAATTCTTTTTATATTAGATAATAACAAATGATTTTTGAATGAAAGTCTATTTCTTTTATATGGTAATAAATTTATGTATAGAAATAAATTTATGAAGTATTAATAAGTAAATAATATTTTAGTGAAATCAGAAAACCTCTTTAATAAGAGTATAGCTGGACTATAACCAGTAATTACTTTCGAATATAAGATACGACTCAGAAGTCAAAGAAAGAACAGGGTAAACAAAGTAAAAATAACCGGTGTCGGAAAAAGTATACATGTAGGTATACATAAATATATAAACAAGTATATTAAGTGCTAATAATAACATGGTTAGAATGCGGCATTATCAAAAGACGAGAGAAATAAAAAGAATGCTACGCAGTTATTTGATTGTGTATATCAAAACTTTTTATTTGACCCAAAGAGAAGGGATACTGGCCAGCGAGGGGTGTTTGGCGAGTTCGTAATAACTAAAGATATATTCCTTAATTATTTATAATCAAAATAAAATGAAGAGGCAACAAATGAAAATAATATTTAACTGTCTCAATTAAGAAATGAAGGGAGATTATTTATCAGAAGTCAGCAGTGAAATATCTCTGAGATACCTTGGCATGTATCTTTGCATCTGTGAGATACATTCTCGACCAGTGGCCGTGGCGCAGTTCAAAGTGAGCTGACCGCCAATTAACTAATTTGCCAAGTCTGTCTCGCAGGGGCAATTAAGAGGACTCGGCCAACGACCAGATAGGGAAGTGCACTCACACTGGCCCAGCTCCGCACATAGATACACACATGCACGTGGGCCACTTGCAGATAATTCAACTTGTTGCAGTTGGAATTCGCCCCATCCCCATCCCCATCCCCATGTTTAGTGTTTACTTGCCCCGCTCACCTGGCGATGTCAGAAGTCAAGCGAACTGATAATTGCAATAGAACAAAGTGGATCGAAATGCCGGAAATGGCAAAAGGGAGAACATTCAGATTGTCATGGGGTGCTTGGAGTGGGGAAACAAACTCAAAAGTATTTCCAACCTGCCGAATATTTATTCGGAATAACGGCTACCAAATGGAACAGTTCATAGGGGCCCAGAATTTTTCAATCGCTTCGCTTCGTGTTTATCCGCAAAGTGGCGCCAAAGTTTATCAACAATTCAACAAATTAAGATACTTTATTGCACATTATTATGTTATTATTGTGAATTGCGTGCCATTTGCTTTCGCTGCGGGGAAAAGAGGGCGCCGACGCGTCGATCTCGTCGAGACATTTGCTCCATTCATGTTTCCCCCCACCCCCCCAACCGACTATAAATAGACCCCGCCCGAATGATAATGAAGCCAACTCCAAAGTGTGTGCAAACATCTGGCCAACAAAACGATCAAAAGGCACAGACATCGGGTAAAATTTACATATCTCGTGTACATATCTTGTATATTTGCTTAGTTATTGGGAATGAAAATGTATCTCTTAGAAGAATCTACAATATAATCGATCTTAGCTGTGAATTTTGTATGGGAATTTTATTCAAAGCAGGTGGGGGCCTATTAATTTAGCAAGATAAGGGGTTGTATTGTATTTAAACACATTGTTCAACATTCTCGCCAAAACCTTTTTGCTCATATATTATTTAAATAAAATGTATTTACATAAATGGGGTATTAATATGTGCCAATATCATATTTGTTTTGAATATCCGGCTTTAAATTTAGGTTATTAAGCCAGATTACAAGCAGGGAAAAGATCTAAAATAATGATCGACTATTAAATCAATTTAAAAACTTGATTTATCATTTTAATTAATTATAAAACTCATTTAAAAATTTTTATGTTTTATGAGTTTTTGTATTATTATACCACTCAATAAATTAATGATCGACTATTAAATCAAAGTAAAAATTTGATTTATTATTTTAATAAGTATTAATTATAAAACTCATTTAAAAATTTTTATGTTTTATGAGTTCTTGTATTATTATACCACTCAATAAATTAAAAATTTTACAACTATTTCCTGCCATTTACAAACGTAAACATCCTTCTCATCCATCCCTTTTAACATCTGCGTAGAATTGGTCTAATGGATTTTATCCTTAAAAGGCTGACAACAACCGCTCCAGAGACTTCTTCCACCAAAACTCAGACAGAAACATTATCCAGACAAAGAAGCATTATTGTAATCGATTGGACTTTATTCTATTAGCGTCGGCATAATATACATTTGGCCCCTCAAAAAACAGCCACAAATTTTCTCTATATGACAAAAAATGAGCCGGAAAAATGGAGAGGGAGAGAGTGGAAAACCGCATTCGCAGGAATACATTTCCCGCCATAGACTTTATTAATTTTCTAATGGATTTTACGTTTTCAGCAGTTGAAGATTTCAACATTTCAGATAAATATTTATGCGTGGGGTGTATTGGGTTGGGTGGGGTGGGGTAGGGTGGCTATACGGATATAGAGAGCGCCTTGAAACCGTACTTGTTGTTGTCACTGTCGGCGACAGGACTCTCCGGGTCCTGTCCCTTTTTTTATGAATTGATTACGATTGGCAAATGGCACTCGGTGGAAGGAAGTTTTGTTTATGTTTGTGCTGGTAATTTATGCGATTGAATAAACTGCCCATAAACATATAGGAAAATGCAGAGGTTGCTGGATGGTCGAGTTGTTTTCGTTGTCTGTCGAGTGTTTGGTTAACATAACTAAAAACAGGAATTAACAGCCTTTCGAGTGCCTAAACGGGCAAAGTAAATTAAATGTGTGTTTAATTGGCTGTGCGGGAGGGAAGTACCACTGTAGCACTGTACCACTGCGCTACAGTGCCACTTGGACTGGCGTGTCCCGGGGCGATTCTTGTCAAGTGCAACCTGCTGAAAAACTGCTTACAAAATGATACGCTTTGTAAAATTCGCAGCCAGGCATCACCAATTTTCGCGCTGATTTTCTTTGCGTGCCAAGTGATACTTTTACCCGATTTTCCACACTGGGCGGTGGGTGGCTTTTAATTGCACACCACAAGAGCAAGGAAATTGTGTCTCTGTGTGTGCAATGTTTTCGGTAGTCGAGCTTGTGTGTGTGTGTGTGTGTGTGTGTGTGTGAGTGAATGTGTGTTGGCCAGAGTTGACAAACTGAATAATTGGCAATTATTTTGGGCAAGTTTTATGAGCTGATAATTTCACATATTATATGTACAGAGTTGCATAACTTATTGGGCCAACACCTATTTGGAAGGCATGCACATGCTGAACTATGACAGACACTGAGATACAGATAGGTTGGTATGTATGTACAATAGGTTCTAGGGGTATAGTTGGAGATATGGAGGTATGCACACAACACAGAACTTACTAGATTTATAGGAACTTGAAAATTTCGCTTTACCTCTCGAACTCTGGCAGGAGACGCTTCCTCTTGACTGACACGAAATGAAGACAAACGGGATGATCGGGATGATGGCGATGTGATGTGATGATGTTGCAACACCAACGACAGCAACAACAACCAAACGCAAAAAATCAACGCAAAATTCAAAGAAGCTCGATTCAATGGATTTGGTGTTTTGGAGAGTTTTTGGAAAATGTCTGGACATTTGGACTGGGCGGGTTTCGTTTAGTTTTGTTTAGTTTTGTGTGTCTGTTACTTTCGAAAAATATGTTTTTGTCTTGGGTTTTTGGGACTTGGCATTCTCAAAATCAAAATCAAAAGAGAGAGTTTCCACAAAAACAAAAAATGGCTTTGCAACGCATATAGAAAAAGTGAATAAAAAATGTGAAAATTCAAAATGGGTTTTTCTCACAAAAATTCAAAATAAATCATAGGCAAAACTATAAGCTAAGGGTATACAAAAATATAACAAAACGTTGACTTACCTAGCCAGTCTGGTAGAAGTGAGCCCGCAAGAGATTCTGAGTATCTCTTACCTGCAAAAAACAGAGAGAAAAGGCATTTAATTTTGAAGGTCAAGGTTGATAAATAGTGCCTCACATGTTAGTAAAAAAAAAGTAAAAAACAAAATAAACTAGTTTATGATACATAAGCAAAAGAATGCTAAATAAATATAACATAAGCTTAATAAGTAACTTAAAAATATAAATTTGCACACATAAAGCTTTTTTTAAAGCACATGAAAATATAATAGGTATATGAAATAAATAAATGAATTGAATAACAAATACATCTGTGATAAAATGCTTTTGCATCATATGTTTCAAAATAATAAACAATTTGTAGAAATAAAAAACAACAGGGAACGAAATAGTTAAACAACCAAAAATCACACATTTAATCAATATTAGTTCAAAATATATAGAAATGTAGGGATTTGGCAAACTTATCTTGCTCCTTTTTGCTGAAAATTTCCACTTTTTGTTGTAAAAGTTAAGAAATAATAAGGTTTAAATTGCCGCGCCTGTTTGAGGAACTATAAAAGACACATGCCTAGCTAAGCAGTGAGTTAAGTTTTTCATAAATTTGCGCAATTTGAGGCTGCTGTGGGTATTTTCGTTTATGCGCATGTAAATAACCCCAGGTAAATCATAATTCTAAGCTCAGCCCGGGGCTGTTGTCCCATCTCCCAGCGTTCTCTAATGCTAATCTAATAACTTTAGCCGTCTCAAGAATTTATTTGCCTCAACAGCAGCGCACAAAATTATGCACGGAGGGCAGACCCTAATCCTCCGGCCCGAGGAAAAAGTGTTCCCGGCGGAAGACGTTGGAGCGCGTCAGGTGTGCGCATTAAAAAGGAGATCTCCCCGCCCGCCAATCCCGCCCGCAATCTAGTAAATTCCGTACAAAGTTTTAAATAATCGAAAACGACACGACGCACTTGGCGAAAAGTTGAAGCATGTAAAATTTGCATAAATAACAACTAAATGCAACTTGGCGCTGGGCAAAGTGTTGCCAAATGATGAATTGAGCGGTAGACTGAGAAAGTGGGTAGGGCCCTTTTCGAAAAAGGTAATTTCAAGGCAGTTGAAAACATTGTTTGCGACTTAAATATATTTAAAAAATTCAAGAAAATTAGAATATTTATCTAATTACAAATTATCCTTTCTCCAAATATACATTTTAAGTTTAATAGTCTGTTTAAAAATGTTCCAATCAATTTATATACAATATGTCTATCAATTCTAATTTATTATTAGTATTTCAAGCGTTTTGTTTAAAAATAACACCTTGTTTATAATAAACGGTTTTGCTAACCAAATAAAACGGATTTTTATTAATCTGTAATACCATTTGAAATTTTCTGCTGAATAAGCATTTTGTCACTTTTGCTGCAGCTAAAAAAATATTCATTTTAGGTGTCATGAAACCCATTTAAAAATATGTTCTCTACCATAACGACACTCCACCTTCTTTGTAGTTCGCTGGCATTTTGATTTTTGATTTTGAATGGATATTTCATGAACTGCGCCGGCATCCCACAGCCCCTCAAACCCCCCTTTTGCGCACCCCTCGAAAGTTGGCAACTGCAGCCAACTCAATCGACGCGTCTCCGTTGGCGTCAAAAATGGGCGTAGCTTAAAAAAAGAAATAAAACCAACATGGGGAGGAATCAGGCCGAGGGAATTTTTTGTTTTTGCTGTGTCTGCTGCGCGTTTGTATGCAAATAAATCAGCGGCGCCCCATCATATGTCTCCGGATCGAGGGGTTTTTGGAATGGCATGAGGAGACGGGTGGGCGGGGGTAGGGGACTGGCCTGCTGCAGTGCGCAAAAACATATCTCACACTATTTGTCATGCTTTTAGATACTTTTATTTTAAAATAAATTGCCAACTCTTTTGCGACAGTCACCCGTTTCCGCGCTCTGCAATATTTTATAATGAAAATCCGCGACATGTGCAGTGAAAATGCAGCAGCACAATTTTCACATTCGACTAAATTTATCGCGCCAGCAGTTCGGGATTTTCGAATTGGAATAAATGCACGCCAGACAATAAATAAGTTAAATTAATGGCCGAGTGTTGACTAATTTTTTGTCGCTACTTCCCTCTGTTTATTCCCTTCCTCTGTTTTGCTGTATTGACGGTTAATAAAATTAGCCAAATTTACGTCTCTTTACCCATTCGGCCATTAACAATGACCATCCCCAAACCGAAGCACAACCCCAAACCCAAACGCAAGCCCAATCTCATCCCATCTCGAACCCTTTCGATTGCATCCCTTAGATGGGCGGCACAATCTGTTACTGGATGTGCTGCCAAGCGTGAGAGAGTAAAGTCCCTTTGCCTGGATTTATTATTTTTACAAGATAAATGCAACATTTTACATTGGAATTTACGGGCGTGCGCCGAAAAAAGCACCAGCAAAAAACAACGCCAAAGGCAAAAACAAACAATGACAAAGTCAAAAGTCGATGGGACAGTGGGGCAAATTAAAGATAACGTAGTTTATTGGGTTTACAGTGGACTAATTAGAAAAATATTTAAGAATTTAATACCCTGGTTTTTAGATGATGTTGAATTTTAAAAATGAACCTGTTTGTTTATTAAATACATAATTTGTTGATTTATTTATAAGAAAAAAAATCATATTCAAATATATTCAGTCATTTTTAAGATTTATTTTATATGGTTTTTTCTTCAGAAATAAATGCTGTATATAATTAAAATAAATATTTTTTTATTGACCCACAGCTAAGAGAGTCTTAACACCATTAAACAATTTATATTTATTTCTAAAACTTCTAAGTTGGCCCACTGTTTTCGTAACCACTGTCCGCTGAGAATACATTTCACGTGGCAACAAGGGACGGGAGTTGAAACAACAACAATAGCAATGGCCAGCGGCCTTTTGGCCATTTTCGATAAAGCACATTTAAACAAATGAAAATCCTTTAAACGAGGATAACACACAGAGAGCACGTCCATGCTCGGTTTAACCCCATGACTCCAAGAGTCGCCGGAACCCCCGGAATCACCCCGTTCTCGCAACGGATTCACTTGAGTGTGTAATTGTGTATTTATTTGCGTTATTTGACAAAATATCAACAAGCACAATCAATCCTCAACAGTCGGTGGAGTCGCCCATCCAGGGAGTGCGACCTCCCATCCATTTGGACCCCCCTTAGGCACCCCCCTGGCCCCTTTTAACCCCCCTCGGACTGCAAATTGCAAATGCTGCCATATGTCTGACAGGGTTGCCGGCAGAGAAATCCATTTAAATTAAAGCTGAGTTGAGCTGCATTCGAAAACGCATAAATATCGGTGTGTCTCCCCGTCTGTATGTACGTATATGTATGTGTTTTTGGGTGTGTGTGTGTGTTTGCCGGGGATCTGGCTACAAGTGTATATGTGCGTTGTGAACTTTCAATTTGAGCTGAATTCAAATTTAGTCCAGGCCAGGGCAATAAAATGTGCAAAAAAAAAAAAAAAAGAGTCGTTTGTTGCTCCTCTTTCTTTGCCTCTGAACTTTGGCTCAATTTTCGCACAAATTTAGAGACTGCAAAAGGCAGGGACTTCTGCAGATCCTATAAAATAGTGTGGGCTGCAATTGTATCTTATGCAAATTTACCTAAATTAAACAAAATCTTTGAAAACAGAAAAATAAGTTTCGAATTTATAGGCGAAACTTGTGTATCGAACCTAAGTAATGGGCGTCGCAACTTCAGGCCTAGGACCTCCTTTTAACCCAACAGTAGTTGCTGAAATGCCAGGACCTTCCATACAAACCCATCCCTTCCATTTGCTAGTGTATTTGCGGGTATCTGTGTGTGCGAGTATCTGTGTGTGCGAGTGTGTGTGTGTGTGTTTGTGTGTACAATGCGACAAAGACTTATGGTTTCAGTGCCGGAATTAGAAGCTTTCTCTGCCTGCATTTCCACTGAATACACTGCACTTGTTGTTGCTGCCGCCGTCGGTGGAACATTTGTCGTCCTTGTTGCTGCTGCTGTTGCCCGTTGCAAAATATATTGCGAATAATTCTCAATATATCGTAAAATGTCTGCTGCTAGTACAGTAAATATGCAAAGCTCGTTTAGCGCAAACAGTCGGGAGCTTGGGGGCGGTTTAGGGGCGGTTAAGGGGGCTTAGGGGTGCAGGGCGTGGCGAGTTTTGGCCACTGATTTAGGGTATTGGCAACTTTTGGTGTTGGCCAAAGAAACGGGTTCAAAATAAAGCCCTTACGAGTGCATAAGAGAACCATTCATCATGTCTGACAGCAATGTTAATTCGAATAAATACACTGATCGTGTAAAAATCCATAAAATGAGTGTGTTTTAGGGTAAACAATTTTTTTAAAGAAATTTAATGAAAAAAGGTTATATCTACAGCTAAGAAACTATTTTTCAGCTGCTTTATATAATTTATTATATTTAAATCAATAGTGGGACATAATAATGTTGTTTATTAATACTTAAAAAAAGTGTAAAATAGTTGTACCCCGTTTAAGTCTTTTTTTTTAACCCATAAGTTGGCTTTGCATAAAGGGGTGGTATTGGTTTGACATTCCCGAAAACCCGCACCCATTCAAAAGGGAAACATATGGCATGCGAGTACATTGACGATGGGTCGCACACTTTGACAGTTAATTTCGCAATTGTATTTCAATAACAATAAATTTGCACGTACGACACAAAGTGCGCTGGTGTTCGCTAGCTGGGGGCCTGTGTGTGACTGTGTGTGCGGCTGATAAAGCCTAAACGCAGAACATTTGGTGCAGCAGCTAATGCGGAATCTAATTAAATTTTAGCTGCACCACGCACACCCCGACATCCGAGTACATGCCAAATGGCACAGCAGCCGCAGCAACTGCAACTGCACTCTCGCTGCATACACATTGATCAATTAACAGACAATATTTTCATTTCGCCAATGGGTTAATTTATAAGCAACTCCACGAGGTATCCACATTTTCCCCGCGCTCTTAGAACGTTCCGGCGTTGGCCAGTTGGCTTTTTTATAGCCAAATGTGGGTACTA